TTTTGAGACAGAATCTTGGTTTGTCACCTAGGCACTGAAGTGCAGTGATCTCAGCTCACCACAATCTCCCTCTCCCAGGTTCAAGCGATTCTCCTGCTTCAGGCTTCTGAGTAGCTGGGACTACAGGTGTGCACCACCTCACCCGGTGAATTTTTGTATTTTTAGTAGAGATGGGGTTTCAGCATGTTGGCCAGGCTGGTCTTGAACTCCTGACCTAAGGTGATCCACCAACCTTAGGACATCCGGCCACCTCAGCCTCCCAAAGTGTTGGGATTACAGGCTTGAGCCACTGTGCTTGGCCCACAGCCATTTCTTGAACATGAGTTCAACAATGTGGACCTTGTGTGTGTGCAAGGGAATATGCCTTATATTCATCCTCTATTCTATCACCTGACAAGAACCAAACAGAACTCAATGGTGTAAATTTGCATTCATGTGCAGGGTTCCTGCAATGATGATCCTGCATAATTGTTGTTGGAAATCATTTGTCTTCTATTGGATTCATGAAGGCTTAAACACATGGTCAGGGGATCACACTCACTAAGTGGCCTGATCTCGGCTCACTGCAAGCTCCGCCTCGTGGGTTCACGTCATTCTCCTGCCTCAGCCTCCTGAGTAGCTGGGACTACAGGCACCCGCCACCACGCCCGGCTAATTTTTTTTTTTTTGTATTTTAGTAAAGACGGGGTTTCACCATGTTAGCCGGGATGGTCTCTATCTCCCGACCTCGTGATCCGCCCGTCTCAGCCTCCCAAAATGCTGGGATTACAGGTGTGAGCCGCCGCGCCCAGCACTAATAGCTCTTTTATGTTTCTTCCACTTGTTGAGATAAAATCTTTTTTTTTTTTTTTTTTTGAGACAGGGCTTCACTCTGTCACCCAGGCTGGAATACAGTGGTGTGATCATGGCTTGCTGCAGCCTCAACCTCCTAGGTTCAAGTGATCCTCCCACCTCAGCCTCCAGAGTAGTTGGGACCACAGGTGCAAACCACCAACCACACTTGACTAATTTTTAAAATTTTTGTAGAGATGGGGTCTCACTATGTTGCCCAAACTGGTCTGGAACTCCTGGCTTCAAGTGATCCTCCCACCTTGGCCTCCCAAAATGCTGGGATTACAGAAGCGTGCCACCACACCTGGCCTCAGATTAAATATCTTGCATTTACTCCATACCAGAGAAAAATAGAGAATTGACATGTAGCCTGCATAGCTTTTTTGAATTCTTTTACAATAACTCTGTACCAGTACGTGTTGTCAACAAAATACGGCAAAATAAAGAGTTGCACGATAATTTTAAGGCATGACCAATGAAGATTGAAGCCAGCCTGTCAGGTTAATCCTGTTTTGTTTTCATCCTAGTCTTTCCCCTGAGGAGCTAGGTTTTTGGCTGGACTGACTGGATAATTGTTGCAGGAACCTCTTTCCATCTTCATGTGTGAAAGCAGTGATGGGGTATGTGATTAAACCATGTTAAACAATATGATTAGGCCATGCCATTATTCTTTTGTAGTTGCAAAGGTAAGCTATACTTCTCAGGCTCTCATTCCCACAGCTAATGCTTTGTGTAAGTCGTCAGGGAACAGCTCACATGTGCCGATGACAGGTTCAGTTCACAGTGTGACTTGTCCAACATGGGATGTCTGCTGTGTCTTCGAACGCTACGGATTATTTGCTTTGCTCGTTTTTGAGTTTTACATACATGGAATCATACCATGTGTACTCTTTTGTGTTTGTAAGATGCATCCTTAGTGCTGTGTGTAGCTGTCCTTGGTTCATTCTCATTGCCATGTAGTATTCCATTGTGTAAAGACACCACAATTTATTTACCCAGACTACCGCTGATGGGCAGTTGGGTGTCTCAATATTTATAGCAACTCTGTGAGGTTGGTGCTATTATTCCATCCATTTTGCTGACGGGGAGATTGAAGCTACAAGTGGCTTTAGAATTGATTACCTCAAGTCACACAGGTCATTTTGTGGTTGAGCCAGACCTTGAGCCAAGGTAGCCCAGGCCCTCTACCCTCACCCTTTTATGCCTCAATGTCTGACTGAACTATTTAGTGAAACACTTCTTTGATCTGTCTCTTTCTTTTCTCCCTCTAAAGGAAAAATCCAGGTCACCAGGCTACACAGGGACTCATCTCTACCCCGGGACTAACGCTTGGCTCCCAGATCCAGTTTTCTGAGCTTAGGGTAGGGCTGTCCCCAGTGACCCCATTCATTCACCTGCCATGTCTGAATCCATGAGAAATTCTTTGTTGACTCAAGCTGGGCCCCCCACTTCAAAAGCATATTTAAAAGCCGAATTAACCCCAGAGAGGAGAGCTGAGCTTGTCTCTGTGTTGGTATATTTTTGGCTTTAACTGTTCAGGCTTTACTCTTTTCATGCAGAGTGTGAGGAAACCTGAGGACTACATTTTTGTTTTGTTTTGCGTTTGCTGTATTAGGATTTTTATTTTCTGTATGGAGTCTTCTCTTTAATGTTTGTAGGAAAAGAACTGCCAACTCATATTTTATGTTTTTTAGAAAATTGTCAGGCTGAGTGCAGTGGCTCATGCCTGTAATCCTGGCACTTATGGAGGACAAGGTGGCTTGAGCCTGGGAGTTTGAGACCAGCCTGGGCAACATAGCAAGACCCTATCCTTACAAAAAAATAAAAAACCTTAGCTGGGCATGATGATGTATGCCCGTAGTCTCAGCTACTCGGGAAACTGGTGGTGAGAGGATCGCTTGAACCTGGGAGGTCAAGGCTACAGTGAGCCACAATTGTACCACTGCACTCCAGCTTGGGTGACAGAGTGAGATCCTGTCTCAAAAAAAATTTTTTTTTCACAATGCGTGTTTCTTCCTGTTGTTTCCACAGAAACATTCAGGTAGAGGCTACAGATTTACATGAGAAGGAAAGATCAGTTTTCTAGCCTTGTGTCAGGAACCCATGTGAGGCCAGTTCTTGGCTTCTCCTTGGCTGGAAATAGAAGGGTACAAATAGGGTCACCTGCTCCCAAATTCTGCTGTCAATTGGAGATGAGATGTTCTACTTCCGCATTTCGCCTGGACCATCTTAAAGCAGTGCAAAGTTTACTGGATCTTCCAATGTATTATTGGCCTTTGGTGTGATGACGGGAGAGTAGGAAGGAGGTCTCCAGCTCCTTCTCTGAGTTCAGATGTTCCCTAGCCCAAGAAGACTAATCATGCACCTTGTTTCCTGCTCTGGAAAATAAGAAGTGATTTTGGCGGCCTTTGAATCTGGATGGAAGGTGGTGTTTTTTTGTTGTTGTTTTTTGTTATTTTTTCAGCAACAAATGTAGTTGTGTATGTATGTACAGAGATAGATTAAAACAACTTTTTTTCCTAGAAGCATTTTACAAAAGTTAAGTGTGCAGGCTATCCTGTCGAACTTTGTCCTTTTTTTTCTAGACACTCCTTTCCACTGTGGAATCTGTGAGTAGTGCCAGCCAGGAGGAGAGTGGCAACTTTCCAAAGAAAAAAAAAAAAAAAAAAGAGGACCTTTTACCCATTGGTTAATAGAGGGGGAGGGTGCAGCTATTTAGGAACGTCTGAATCCTGTCATTCTGGAGTCTGGAATCACCTCCTCTTCCCCCTCCAAGGTCTTCGTATAGCTCACCTCACACCCAGTCCACACACCCGCTCCTAGCATTCTGTATCCTATTCAGCCACCTCCTAGCCAGTGGACCACCTCATACCTAATGTCAAGGTTATGTGTGAATTCTGAATGTTCTTAGGTCTTGGTGGGAAAATTATCTAAACTTTGAAAAATTGCTATGTCTACAATTTCAGAACTGCTTGTCAACTCCTGAGACGACACTTACTGTTGTCCCGTGATTTAGTTGTTTTTACCAACTAGCAATTTGGAACCAAGGCTTTTAAACCATCCCTTCTGATTAACATCAGAGAAGACAGGCATTCCTTTGAAAAGAATTCCTAAAGAGAGAATTTTTATAAATGGAGTATAAAATAGCATGAGGAACAGTGAGAAACATCTTCAGAGTTCACATGGCCTAGGCATGGAATAAATGCAAGGTGAGGGTTTATTTTCTGAGAAATAAATGCTTAGTAGGATGCTAGATAAAACACAGGACATCCAGCTAAATTTGAACTTCAGATAAACAAGGAATATTTTTTTTGATGTAAGTATGTCTCAAATATTGCATGGGGCATCCTATATTTTTATATGTTAAATCTGGTCATTTTAACTAGGTTTGCAATATATTTTCAGCACAATTTCAACAGTTCATATTTGCTGAGTACTTTGGGCATGATGGTTAGAGTCAGAGGTGACTTTAGGAGCTGCAGGCCTTGTGTGTGTCTCTTTCACCACTATCCTCACAGCCCCGAGTACAGTCTTTGGCATATAGTTGATGCTCAATAAATATATTTTGAAAAAATTAATCAAAATGATAAAATAAGTATGGACTGTGATGAACTGATGATGCTTATAATGTAGGTGGGAATATAGGCTCATATATTTAAAAAGTTATTGTGACTAATACTATCTTATTTTGGATTTTGTTAATTGCTTAATAGACTAGCCCACTTGGTTGAAGGATTCAAATTCTAAATATATGAAAGGTTATTTCCATTTCAAAAAGTGATGCAGAAAGACAAATAACATGTTCTCTCACTTATGTGTATTCTAAAGATGATTGCACAGAAATAGTAGAATAGTGGTTACCAGAGGCTGGTGACAGTAGAAGGGAGGGGAGGATGAATACAGTTACATAAGAGGAATAAGTCCTGGTGTTCCATTGCACAGTGGAGTGTCTAGAGTAGCTGGAAGACAGGATGTTGAATGTTCTCAGCACGAAGAAATGATAAATGTTTGAGGTGATGGAATGCTTACCCTGATTTCATCATTACACAAGGTATACATGTATGAAAATGTCACCTTGTACTTCATATATATGTGCAATTATGTGTCAAAAATTTAAAAAACTCTTAAAAAGAAAAAAGAATCAAGAGAGAAGAATACAAAAATGATGATTAAATGGAAATTAAATAGTAGTTTTATTTGGATTTGATGTAATTTTTTAAATTAAAAACTGTGCTATTGGACAATGTCACCTATTTTCTTTCATATACACTTTTCTTCTAGTGTTATAATCAATTAAGTCCTGTATATTTAATACTCATTTTCTGTCAGGGTTGAATTTGATCAAGGAGAAATGGATGTATACCAACTAGTCAGGTATAACTGCAATCTTACTATAAAGTAAAAATTATTGTAGGCCTTCTAAGGAATTTATAATTCATTAAAATATATATACTAACACTAAATAAAAAGCTACTTAATATGTAATATTCTAGTTAAAAATTAGGCATCTATGACTATATGCAATAGTGTGGAAAACAATTAGGCGTGGGACTTATTGTTAGAGTTTATTATTTTTCAAAAGATAATGATAAAACACACCTGTGAATTCAATATAATTATAAATTCATCACATCTCAGGATGGTAAAACCTTAAATATACCATTTGTAACTGAGATTATATATTCTCTTTCTTCTTCATAGGAAAACTCTGAGGAACTATGGAAATTTCTAAGAAACAAAAACCCGAACAGTCCTTTTTATTCATACTTCTTTGTAAAACCGACGAAAATAACTCTCTGTTTTTCTTAATTGCTTGAAGTGGTACTCATATTCAATTCCACTAGTTGTCTCTAGGCAGTGGTATAACCAGAATAATTGGAGTCCCACCTGAAAGAAAAGATGGATACATTTGACTACATTAAAAAAAAACTGTATGGAAACAAACATCATAAACAAGTCAGAAACAACATTATTCGCAAAGTTAATGAATAAAGAACTGGGGATTGGGGCCCGGGCCAGGTGCGGTGGCTCACGCCTGTAATCTCAGCAATTTGGGAGGCTGAGGTGGGAGGACCACCTGAGGTTGGGAGTTCGAGACCAGCCTGACCAACACGGAGAAACCCCATCTCTACTAAAAATACAAAATTAGCCAGGCATGGTGGCACATACCTGTAATCCCAGCTACTCAGGAGGTTGAGGCAGGAGAATTGCTTGAACCCGGGAGGCAGAGGTTGTGGTGAGCCAAGATTGCACCATTGCACCTCAACCTGGGCAACAAGAGCAAAACTCCGTCTCAAAAAAAAAAAAAAAAAAAAAAGAACTGAGGGCCGGACGTGGTGGTGCAGGCCTGTAATTCCAGCACTTTGGGAGGCCGAGGCAGGTGGATCACCTGAAGTCGGGTTCGAGGCCAGCCTAACATGGTGAAACCCCGTCTCTACTAAATACAAAAAATTAGCCAGGCGTGGTGGTGCATGCCTATAATTCCAGCTACTTGGGAGGCTGAGGCAGGAGAATCGCTTGAATCCGGGAGGTGGAGGTTTGCAGTGAGCCAAGATCGTGCCATTGCACTCCAACCTGGGCAAAAAGAGCGAAACCCTGTCTCAAAAAAAAATAAAATAAATAAAATAAAGAACTGGGAAGATTACCTAATATCTTCAGGGCTCCTGTAAATAATGGAATAGAACAAGGGGTAAAGAGTATGAATGAGAGTCCAAAAAAGAAAAAGGAAGAAATACAAACAGTCCTAGACATAATAAAAGGTGTAAGGTATACAATATAGCTTTGTAATAGAAATTTAAACTAAAATCACATTGAAATACCATTGTTTATTCATCAGATTGGTAGAAATCCAAAAGTCTTGATATACTCTGTGGCAATGCTGTTGGGAACTGAAACTCCCATCTATTGCTGTTGGAGTATAGATTGGTGTAATCTTCTATGATGGACAATTTAGTTATATCTATCAATATGACAAATGTTCATACTGACTGTCCTAGTAATCCACTTCTAGGAATTAATCCCACAGATATATTTTCACATGCAAGAAATTAAGTATAAGGTTATTAATTATTGCAATGTTTGTAATAGGAAAAGACTGGAAACCATCCAAGTGTTCATCAAAAAAGAGCTAGTTAAATATATTATATATTCATACACCAGAACATTATGCAAGGGTGAAATGAATGAGAAAACTCTCTGTACTGATGTGGAAAGATTTGCCAAGACAGATCTGAAAAAGGTGTGTAATAGTGTGAAAAGGAGGATTAAGCAAATAAATGCCTATTTTAAAATTTATGCCATTTGCATAAAAAACTGACAGGGCATGTAAGGAACCAATAGAAATGGCCATCTATTTTTAGAGGTGAGGAGGAGGGAGGCTGGCGAGATGGGGGTGGAGGCAGAAGTAGCAGCATGACTTCTGCATACCTTCTCGTGTATGTATCTTTTCAGTGTTTGAGCCATGTGGATGTGACTTATGCAATAATTAAATAATTAAAAAGAAGAAGAGCAGGTGCCTAGGTCCAGGAGCCGGAGAGAACAGGGATATCTGGGGGAATTTCAGGGGTCAGTTTGACAGATGTGCAGAATGTGAAGGTGGAGCAGTAAGAGATGAGATGAAAAGACCATTTTAATTATCATTTAAAACAACTATTTTTCTTTTTCTAACATTTATTGAGAGTTTAACTGATAGCCAGGCCCTGTGCTTTTATGTACATTTCCTCATTTAATCCTCGTAACAGTTCAGTAAGGCAGCAGCTGTTATTACAATCATTTTATAAGTGAAGGAACAGAGAGGTTAAGTAATTTACTCAAGGGCACACAGCAGCTGGCCACTGGTGGAATCAGTGTGCACAACCCATCATGACCCTGTGCTCATGCTCTTAACTTTTGTACCATTCTGCTTGTTCAAGGGAACATACATCCAATTGAGAGAGGTGGGGTGAGGGGCAAGAATTTCTATCTTTCTACACAGTGAATTTTATTAATTCTGTAGAGCTCATCTTACAGTACTAACAAGTATGGCTGCCCCCAAATCTGTGACTCAGCCAAGATCATTTTTAAATATTTCCCATTCTTATGACCTATCCACCACTTTGGCACCCATATTCTTCCAAGACTGTCTCAGCATCTGGCTTGCTACCTTTGACCATAACAAACATTTGAATAACAAACCAAGTTTATGAACTATCATGGGCATGACAAATTAGTTTAAGAAACATTCATTCAGTACATTTTGAACCCCTGTAGTATTATAGACACACAGATTCAAAGATAAACATGAGCAGAGCAGCCTCTCTGGTGTTCCCATCTGGTGAAGCAGGCTGACATGTCAGCAAAAATCCACATTTAACCTACGTTCTCTTATATTGGTTAGTATTACCTAGATTTGCCTAAGCATTAAAATCACTTGAGACACTTTAAAAAAAAAAAAAAGGCAACAACATAAAAACCCTACAGTTTGTTGGGCCCTGCCGCCAACCACTTGAATGAGAATTTCTTGGGGATGGTCCTGGGAGTGTGTATTTTTAACAAGTGCCCATGAGATTCTTAAATTAGATAAGTTTGGGAAATGAGATATCAGTAGAAACAGGATACTGTGGGGTCAGAGGAGGAAGTTGCTCAGTCTGTCTGTAGGGGGGAAGATTAGCCAAAGCCTCACAGCAATGTTTAGGCCACACCTTAAAGAGTGAGAAAGCACCCAAGGAGAAAAGACTTTCCAAACAAGGAGAATTTTAAAAATTAGCCAGGTATGGTGGTGCGCACCTGTAGTCGCAGCTACTTAGAAGGCTGAGGTGGGAAGATCGCTTGAGTTCAGTGAGCCATGGACATGCCACTGCACTGCAGCCTGTGTGACAGAGTAAGCAAGACCCTGTCTCCAAAAAAAATAAAATTAAAGGGAATTTTACTCTACTGGCAAAGAAGAGAATGGCTTGATGGAAGAGAGACAGGGAGTCCAGTTCAAAGGCTGCCAGGAAGATTTCTGGGAGCAATTAGCTAACTAACAGTGATGGAATGGCGTTTAGCTAAAATTTACAAGACTTGATAGATTAATTTTTTTAATGAAGGAGACAAGCAATAGGATGGCTACTAGCTTAGAAAATGGAGAGAAATGTGGGTCATTGCTAGTGGTGAGGAATATGGGAAGAGGAGCAAGGGGGTGATGATAGGAACATGAATTCCAGCTTGATTCTGCTGAGTTTCAGTGGCTCTGGGGCGATCATACCTACTAGGCATTTGGATATCTGAAGATAGAGATTTGGGGGCCCACAGCATATGGATGGTAGACAAAGCCTTGGAAGCAGGTGCAAATCACTGAGGGGTGTAGGGAGGAAGAGTTGAAGAGTGCTGAAGGCAGAGCTATGGATCCCTGACGCTAAAGAGAGATGGAGGAAAAGAGGAATATGGCAAGGAGGCTATGGAAGAGCAATGAGAAGACAGAAAAGCTCTGAGAGAGAATGTTATCTTGGAAGCTGAAGAAAGAGGGAATTTTCCAGAAAAGAGTGGTCAGTGGGAAGAAATGGAAGACAGATGCTGTTTTAGAGATTACTGGCTGCTTGTAGTTTCTGCTTCTAATGCCTTGGTTTGCCAAATCCAGTCCGGATTCTACATGAATCTCCAGTTAAATGGTCAACCATATAACTGACAGGTTGTCTGATTTTGTACAGCTTAAATTTCTAAGAGAATCTAACGGGTTCATCCTGTATGTTGGTTTCACTTGGGTGACCCTAGTACAATAAGCCATTATAGGGAGGGTAGCAGGTGAGGCTGAGTCTGTAGCTGTGGCTGGGCAGATCCCTGAGTGTGCAGGGGAAAGAGGATAAACACTGAAGATCTTGCCAATAATCATCATAATAACCCCCAGTGTTGATTAGGCACTGTTTTAAACACCTTACATGTGGTAATTCATTTCGTCTATTTGAATATAATGGTGAGCACGGAAGTCATATTATAGTGAATTGAGTCCTCTACTACTAATAATGACAATAAGTCTCTAGAAAGGCATTAATCTGACTCTTCCAAAAATGCCCTTTGCTTTGCTCTCCCTTAAAGGGGCAGAATCCTTCCCTGGGTCCACTCTTGATGATTGGATGGGAGACTGTGCCTTCTGATCAAGTTTCCTGAGTTCTTTTAATTGAATCATCAGAATATCACACATAAAATGAGGCCTTGAGCCAGGCTGGCATGGCCACACTAAAGTCCTGTGATCTGTTTATCTGAGAGCATGATGAGTTTGTTGGTCTTTCTTAGCCTTAGGAATCTGCCTTCCGGTGTTTAGACAGAGTAGCAGCTGAATGAATTTTGAATTTAATTGTGCCCGAGCAGAGAGTGAACAACCTTTGCATATGACAGCTTTTTGATGTAGACTTTTCAGAATGGTGATTTCAGGTCATTTCCAACTGCAGGACTCTTTCAGTTCATAATAATACATATTTTAATTAGCTCTCTTTGGATTGTTTATATTTATGGAGGAAGAAACAGTGGAATAACCTACTTGAGAATGTGTTCAGAGCATGTGGCTCGTTTGACATATAAAAGCAGTATATTAAATAAGTGTCCGGTTCGGTCATTTATTTAGATTTAGTTGATAACTTGGATTTCAGCACTAACTGAAATGCATTGGTTCATATTAGATTAATTAATTATCATAGAATATGGAGAGCACACCAGAACTATAATTGCAATAGCACATAGTTATTTGATGCTGATTTCAAAGGATATTTTACAAATGCATTTGTGAATGGGAGTTCATTCTTTTAAACGTTTGGACTGCTTTGGCTTTTTCTGTGGTGGGGCCTATAAGAAGACACGTCACAGTGGGTCTCACTTAAAGAAGTCTTTAGCACAGAACATAAAAGTGACTGTAACTAAAGTTTGGAACACGGCAT